GGGCCGTCTCTGGGAGACCGCTATGTCTGTTACCTCCCCCTCCTTACCCGTCCTTTCTCTTTGTAATCTTTTCGTCCATCTGCAAACCATATATCCTGATAAACTAAACTTGGGCCTTTATGTTTGACCTCCTAATGCATTGACGCAAATAAGAAAACACCATCACACTCGGCTGCCCAACCACTTCCGATCCTCTCGAGGCCACTCCGCCTGGTTTATCGTCCCCCTCCTTCTCCTTATGTAGACTCTGTTCCCTTCCCTCTAATCCAACTGCTGCTTTCATTTGTCTATCACTAATTCGACACGACAAGTCCCTTTTCTATTCCACTCTGCGCGTAGGTTCGCTTCCTCTCTCAACTCTCCTCGCCAGTAGGTGCTTCCCTCTAACACCTCTTCCCCATATGTACGCCCTTCTATGAGACACCTCTATCAAAAGCCTTCTTAAAGTCTAAATACACACACCACCTACTTAATAAGTTACCTGTGTGTGCTTGTGTGTGGTGTGTTGTGCTGTGTGTGTGTGTGTGTGCAGTGTGCGCGAAGGTGCGAACCATCCCTCATAAAAGACAGTCGTTTCCGTAGGTTGGAAAACTAAAATGAAGCGTCCCTTAGTGATCTTACACAGGACATTTCCGTATTCTTTTGACAGTCAGTAAAAGCTTTTATTTTTATAATTGAATGTTCATCTGATGTAATTCTCTTGCAGGAAAAGTTTGGGAAAATTGGGGAAACTACCGAATTTCAACAAAGCGACGAGTTAGTTCTTGTAAACAGATCGTGTCCTAGTGTTAGGCTTAGTAAAACTAAACTCCGTTTCTTATGAATGGATATTAAATTTGAGAAAGTTATATTTAAACTAAGATAATCAGTATTGTATATGCAGAGTCTGAAATGGTGGAGGGTGAGGGGTGAACAGACCCCCTAGGTTGCCAAGTTCTCGGCAGCTAAACTGTTCTTTGGACAGATGTGTTATAAACCACATTTTCATTGCCTAAGATACAATACCGATAAAATTCAATATTCATTTTTTTTTTTTTCTGAATGTGCAGGACTATAGACAGGTTGAATAACTTTTTAATACCATATATTTTCATATAGAGATACTATATCAATCGTGAGTTTTCTAAGGGGTTTAGGTCAAGGGTGGGTTGGAGCGTGGCATCTGGCCCCTGCCCCGTATTTTCGTTTCAGGGAGTTTGCAACCCTAATATAGACCTTGTGCGTGCGTATGTGGGGGTGGGGGAGAGAAAAAAATAGAATATGAAAAAAATAATCCTATCTTTATTGAAAAACTCAATTTCAATGAAAAGGCAAGAAAAACATACATGGGTGTACATTTTTCCTTAAGACTGCATCCATTTACAATCTTTTGAAATAAATATATCCTCAAATTCATCAGTTGTTTGTATCATCCATTTTTCTGTGTTTACAGTTATTTGCTTTCAATTAGATTTGTCGTTTTCATTTTTTTTTTCTTTCTGAAAATATCATATTAGAAATTGAGTTTTGAGATCTTTTAGGTCAGTCATTATCTAATTCTAAAATTTGAACCCCAATTGATATATCTATTAACTACCAAGTATTCAATGCTTAGAACTGACCATTCAATGCAGATATGAAAAAGGAAACAAATAAAAGTAAAAAACCTTGTCACACGTTTATTCAGTATATAGTTTAGATTATTTTCACTGATAAGTTAATTCTGGGAAATATGGAATGTTTTGACATACATTACAAATAAGATTATGTTATTTTGCATGATTTTTTTTACAAAGATGGTGCAGAGTATCTGCTATTTTTGGAATTCACTCAAAATTCCTCATAAAGCAGATGGTATCTTTAATAGCGAAGGGTCCTTTTGGCTCGGATCACTTTTCGAAGATAACCATGGCTACGAACCGGCACATAATCTTGAACTGGTTATAGAGCTGCTTAAAGCTGGCGTTGTCCTGTTCCAGTCGCTTGCCAACATTCGTGATTCCGCGCCTCTTCCTGGGGGAGGAAGGAGAGGCAAGGAAGGAGGCAGGCAAGCTCCTTGCAGGTGCCGCAGGCCTCGCTTCCAGTCAGCTGCCGCTTTACTATGCGGTGCGCCAGTTCATCATTCCCCCTGAGGGCGTCTAGGCCTCCAAGGGACTCGAGCGACCTTCGCATTCGCTCCAGGGCCCGTACCTCTTCCTCTTCCTCTCTGCTTAGCAGTCCGGAGGCGATAAGAGTGTCGTAGACCCGCTTGTACTCATCCAGATCAACATCTCTCTCAATTCTGAGATTTTCGGGCTCGGCGTGGGACTCGGGAGACTCCGTCGTCAGGCGGCCAGCGTCGTCGCTGCTGTCAGTGGTGGAAATCGTCACCTCCTTGACTTCGTCGTCCTCGTCTGTTGCGTTGTGAACCTTCGTGATGTTGTCGAGCACCTCGTTGGAGACAAAGGTAACGTCGAAGATCGTGCCGTTCTCGTACTCCTCGTAGGTCGCGTTGAAGTCCTCGAGAGTGACGTTGAATTCAGGATAGGCCTCGAGATCAGGGATATAGTCTACGAGCGTCATGTTCGAGTCGAAGGGGTAATCTTCAGAACTGACGTTATATTCCTCAAAGCTTATGTTGTAGTCCTCGAAACTGATATTGTAGAGACTGATATAGTCTAAAAAGGTGATATTGTTCTTGTGGAAAGTGAGGTTGTAGTCGTGGAAACTGAGAAAGGAGTCGTTCTTGTTCTCTTCGCTGGCTTCCTCTTTCCCTTCTGTTTGCTGTTCTCCTCCCAACTTCGCCTCGCTGTCGCTATCCCTGTTTTCGTTTTTTTCATCATCCTCTTCGTCCTCCTCGTCTTCATAATCATAATCAAAATAATCATCGTCATCAAAATAATTATCGTAAAAATAATCTTCATCATCACCAGCTCCGTCTGCGATGGGACTACCTTTCTCCATAAGTTTATTGATCTCCTCGTCTGACAAGACTATCTCCTTTGGCATATTCATGGAGTAAGGGTCGTCGGCGAGCGTGTAGTTGCCGGCTATTTCAGGCGTCTTCTCGTCGTCGGGATTGTCGTCATCATCATCATCATCATCGTAATATTCATCGTCGAAATATAAGTCATCATAGTCGTCGTAATAATCATCGTCGTAATACTCATCACTGTAATCATCTTCATGTAAGCTTTCGTTTAAGTGACGTTCACCAATGAGCGTGTATACCATACCCGCGCTGTCAACAACACCATCATCATAATCATCGCCAGTACCGTCATCAATCATCCATTCATCCCATCATCACGAAAGGTATCACCTACACTATCATTGCTGGCCGTACTATCATTGCCAACCCCAAGTGTCACTGTACGATTGGCTGTAGAGGGCGCTGTGTTGGCAGGGTTGTAGTGGGTGACAACAACAACTGAGAGGCACAGCGCAATCCTGAGGAAGATAAAATACGTTGTATTTAGTTCGATAGGAAAATGAGATGTGATAATTGGAAAAGTAGGTGATTTTCTTTCGATTTCTTAACTGAGAAATATTGTTTAGCGATTTATTCCAGCCACCGGCAGTTGCGTCGCTGATGGAAGAAAGAAAGAAAAAGAATATGAAAAGATGAAAGTAAACAAACAAATGAATAAAGAAGGCGAAACAGACCGAAAGAACCCTTAGTTCCATGCTCGTGTTTTCACAGATTTAATCGCGAAAATAAAGAGAGGGAAATAGGAAAGCGGAGCGGAGAGGTATTCAGAAAGGGAGAGGCAGAGGGAGATGGTTAAAAGTCCTGCCCAAGAGAAATAGATATTTCAAATAATGCATAGAGTAACGAGAAAGAAGGCAAAGTTACACATAATACAAAAGAAGAAGTTTCTTCTGTTTCTCGGTCTCCCTCGTTGCCTCCAGTTGCGGTCTTCTTCTAACTCTACCGCGCCCGGACCGCTGGGGTAAATCTCTTAATATAGTTTAATCTACGAAGGGTCAGGCAGGGGGACGGGGGAAGAGATGAAGACCGCAGAGAGAGAGGGGAACCCACGCGGGGTGTGCAGACCCTATCTATCTCATCTGTCTATATGTCTTCCCACGAGGGGTACGCACGGGGCTCGCGGATCTCTGCTAGGCATGCGGCAACGCGCGGACGCACACAACGAATTAGCGCAGGACAGGCGCCGACAGGGAGACACACCAACGACACACAACGAGCCAACACACACAGCAATTCACCACACACACCACACACAATCACACACATATACACACACTACATCACACGTCATATTAACCACACACAACTTCACACACAACCAGCGATTCACACAGACACAGCACACACTACAAACACACTTTACGCCCCACACTCTCACAGAATTTCCACATCTCACGAGTGTTCTACTTATTGCAGTCTCTATCATTGGCAAAATATCTATCTATTCCTATATGCGACGTACGACTGAACACTATACAAGACACACTCAAACTACTCACAACTACATGCCTCACTCACCCATCTACATCATCGTGGACAATACACAACACCATCTACAGCATTCAGACTACTACATACATCTCACACACTACACACACACTTACAAATACGAGTTACTGCACACATCATACTTCTATTACTTATCTATTCATACATGCTAGAATACATACACATAAAGATTCAATGTGCAGATAATATCAAAGACCAATAGCGAACTATATGGAAAGAATGCGGAAGTGTAAAATAGTGCGATTAAGGAAGATGACGCGTGATCATCGCCTTAACTAGATATAATAATAAACCTTGGAGATAGTGTCAGTACGATAGAAACTTGACCACACGACGCATGGTCTTAATAGTAAATTTAAATAGAGCTAAAAGATTGAATTTAATGATATGTCCTACCTTAGTTTCCGCACAGCGGTTTCCTGATGCCTGTTATCCTGACGCTCCGTCATCAACTTCAACTAAACAATGGCAGCTAGCTTACTGCGAATACAGTTGTCCGTTGATCCTTATCACCACTCAGCAACTGGTCCAACGTTGCTCCCGGGGGGTGAGGACTGGAAGAATACAGCCAGGCTTTTATAACATCGTTGGGTGGGGGGCGAGTTTGGGTTGTTATTGCAATAATCAGGCGCAGTTATGGTGCAGAGAGAGTAAGGTCGGGAGGAGTTCCACTTCACCTACTTTTCTTCATTCCACATTCACCTCATACATTTTCATCAATTATGTTCCCTTTAACTCCGGGACCCAACCTACAATTTTACCTCCATACTTATTTTTAAATCTTTCCTCAGATCTTTGCAACTTGCCATTTTCGTCCAGTTTGGTCTGGTTGGGTCTACCCCCTCACTACACACCTGCCCTATGTCCACGACATGGGCGGGCCCCTCCTACAGCCATATCGTACAGTTGGACACTTGGGTGTGTCTTGGTCCAATGATAGTTATCGCCAGCAATGATATGCTCGTAGGTGATTCACCTTTTTCGTGATTGAAATGGTTGTTAGATGATGATGAATGAGATGTACGCACCGGCGTGATGCATTTACTGCATTGATTCGGTGTGTTAGTGGGAGATTTAGTGAGTAGCGCGGTATGTGGTGTAATTACCACGTCTCATTGGTGAATCGTTCCTTAAAACGGAAAAGCTACATGGTAAGAACTTGATTCACGTGATGAGTTTATTACGCACGTTATTGATTATTACGAATCTGATACTGCTTATGCAGTGTATCTTTAGTTATTCTTTTCGACGATTGGATCATTATAGCGGATTGAATCAAGATTGTAGAATGTAAGTTCGATTGAGAATTTCTGCTCGCGAGGATACGCGAAGACGCCTTGGACATATTTACTAGCTCTGGCAACTTCACGGATCTTCGGCCGACCTCGATCCCTACGCTCCATAAGATTTTGCACTTGCTCCAAAGGAGTATAGTCTTTCGGTTTCAGGCGAGTCGAGATTCAAATTAAATCTTTTTATGGCAGAAAGTTTCAGTCCCATTCGCCCGACGGAGCTTTTGGTGTTGGATTGTAAGGAATGATTATTTACGGATTTATATTATTTTTGATGGACGATTGATTTAATTCGGTTGATTGCATTGATTATGAAAGAGCGAAGGAGGACAGAAGAGGGATGTGAAAAAAACGAAAACAGGTGGAATAGCGACAGCGCAGCGAAGCTGGCCCGAGGACGCAACAGCAAAACAGACATGGGATTAGAGGAAGCCACGAAGAGTAAAACATTGAACGACTCCTCTTCTCTAGTAATCTTTTCCCTCACAAGACTTACAACCTCACTTTTCTCACGCAATGAACATAATATTGATCCTTTGTTCTTGAAATTTAGACTATATCAGTCTCTACAATATACAGGTTTTACGAGAGACTACAAACATAAGCTTTAGAAGGACACTCACCTCAACGTCAGTTCTGAAGACTTACCCCCTTCGACTCTAAACATGAACCAGCTCGTAAGACTGATATCCCGACTCCTCGAACGGCCTATCCTAGACAATTCCAAACGTCACGTCTCGAGCACTTCAACGCGCGACCATACGAGAGTACGAAGACGGCACGATCTTCGACGTTACCCTTTCAAGTCTTCCAACGAAGAGTGCCGATCAACAGTCACGAAAAGTTACACAACGGCAAAGACGAGGACGACGAAAGTCAATGGAAAGGTGACGAATTTCCACCACTGGACAGCAGCTAGACGAAAACCGCTGGCCGCCTGACGACGGAGTCTCCCGAGTCCGAACAATCTTCTCCAGTATTGAGAGAGAGATAGCCATCTATCTTAATGTGAAATTGCGCATTGTTGATTGACCCGTTTAACAAAAATGGCCAGTGGTGTCTACGAACACTCAAATTTATATAGCTCCACGGTGTTCTCTCCCAGATGAATAACCTGCTAAGCAGAGAGGAATTGAGGAAAAGAGTGTACGGTGCCCCTTGGATATGCGAATGCGCAAGGTCGTCTTTCCGACGTCTACCTTGGTCGCCCATGGCCTTCAGCGACAAGTCCCCTTCAGGGGGAAGACTCTGAACTGGCACTGCACCGCCATAGCTTAAAAGCCGGCAGCCTGACTGGAAGCCGAAGCCCGTCCCTGCCCCGGCACCTTTAGCAAGCGCCGCAAGAAAGGACAACAAGACGAGCCATCCCTCCGTTCCTTGCTCTCCTTCGCTCCCCCAGGAAGAGGCGCGAATCACGATATGTTGGCAAGCGACTGGAATAGGACCACCCACCCCCGCCGAGCGTCCCTTCAAGGAAGCAGTCTTCCCTATTAACCATGCTTCCAAAGATTTACCTCGTGGCGCTCAGGGCTCCTCTGAAAACTCAAAAGAAAGCGACCCAGTCGGTGTTTCCTTTTCGAGAGCTCAAGGTGTATATTCCGTGTATGCACAAGACGATGTGTCACCACTTCAGCTACTTTAAATGAGGTAACAATCCTTGCGGTTATGAGAATGTCCCCTGTAGTGACATTATAACCTAGAAAATAAGCACAAAGAAATTAACCTCTGGCAGCTCATCTAATTGTGGTATGGAAAAAAAAGAATCAGTGACGAAAAAGAGTAAGCAAGTAAATCTATTTGGATAGAGTTAGGTAAATGAGGCAAAAAAGCATTCATATTTGCCCAGAGATTAAGCTTAGCTGGAAAATACATCTAAACTATATATTGAATAAACCGTAGTGACAGAAGGGTTATGAGTTGTAAGACTTTGAGATTGATGGTGATCCCAATTTTGGGAAGAAGATCATAAGAAATGCTGCATTGGAATGGTGAGTATCTGAAGAGCGCAGTTGGTAAATTGACTTGGGGTGATTAAATAGGGATATAAATCAGAAATGAGAGGGAGAGAGGGAGGGTGAGTGGAGAGAGAGGTAGACAAGGAATGAGAGATGAGATAGAAGAGAGAGGTAATGAAGCTGGACTCCGAAAAGTATCACCTCAAAACATCATTTCTAAAATGATGATTTTTCAGAAAGGAAAAAAAAATGAAAAACGACAAATCTAAATTGAAGAGCAAATAACTGTAAACACAGAAAAATGGATGATACAAACAACTGATGAATTTGGAGGATATATTTATTTCAAAAGATTGTAAGTGGATGCAGTCTTAAGGAAAAATGTACACCCATGTATGTTTTTTTCCTTGCCTTTTCATTGAAATTGAGTTTTTCAATAAAGATAGGATTATTTTTTTCATATTCTATTTTTTTCTCTCCCCCACCCCCACATACGCACGCACAAGGTCTATATTAGGGTTGCAAACTCCCTGAAACGAAAATACGGGGCAGGGGCCAGATGCCACGCTCCAACCCACCCTTGACCTAACCCCCTTAGAAAACTCACGATTGATATAGTATCTCTATATGAAAATATATGGTATTAAAAAGTTATTCAACCTGTCTATAGTCCTGCACATTCAGAAAAAAAAAGAATATGAATTTTATCGGTATTGTATCTTAGGCAATGAAAATGTGGTTTATAACACATCTGTCCAAAGAACAGTTTAGCTGCCGAGAACTTGGCAACCTAGGGGGTCTGTTCACCCCTCACCCTCCACCATTTCAGACTCTGCATATACAATACTGATTATCTTAGTTTAAATATAACTTTCTCAAATTTAATATCCATTCATAAGAAACGGAGTTTAGTTTTACTAAGCCTAACACTAGGACACGATCTGTTTACAAGAACTAACTCGTCGCTTTGTTGAAATTCGGTAGTTTCCCAATTTTCCCAAACTTTCCTGCAAGAGAATTACATCAGAATTGAACATTCATTATAAAAATAAAAGCTTTTACTGACTGTCAAAAATACGGAATGTCCTGTGTAAGATCACTAAGGGACGCTTCATTTAGTTTCCAACTACGGAACGACTGTCTTTTTAGGGATGGTTGGCTGCCTTCGCGCACGTGCACACACACACACACACACACACACACACACACACACACATACACATTTAGACTTTGTGTGTGTTGTGTATTTAGACTTTAAGAAGGCTTTTGATAAGGTGTCTCATAGAAGGCTACTATGGAAATTAGAGCACCTAGGTGGAGTGAAAGGCAACCTACGCGCATGGATGAAAGACTTTCTTCATGAAAGACAAATGAGCACAGTAATTAGAGGAAAGCATTCTACATGGCGACGAGTAACCAGCGGAGTGCCTCAAGGATCGGTGTTGGCGCCGATTATGTTTTCTATTTTCGTCAATGATTTAGAGTCAAACATAAGCCCAGGTAGTTATCTGAATATGTTTGCAGATGACGAAAAGATACAAAAGAAGGTAACAGACAACGTCTCATGCCAATGCCTCCAAAGTGACATCGAGAACTTATTCACGTGGAGTTGTACATGGAAAATGGAATTCAATACCAATAAATGCCACGTAGTCAGGTTTGGAGAAAGTAGAAATCGCCCAATATTGCAATACAAATTAGAGGACACAGTATTAGACACAGCTGACAGGGAAAAAGATCTTGGGATAATCATAAATAGAAACCTAAATCCAAATGACCATATAAATGAAAAGGTCCAAAAAATGTTAGGACTGATTGCCAACATGAAGAGGGCATTCGTGTATGTGGACGAAGATATGGTAAAGAAGATTATTAAAGCAATCATAAGACCAGGTCTTGAGTACGGTACAGTGGTATGGAGTCCACACTTAAAAAAGGATATTGACAAACTGGAAAGAGTCCAAAGAGCGGCGACAAGTTGGGCACCTACCTACCCTAAGAGATCTGAGTTACGAAGACAGACTACAAAAATTAGGACTTATTACCTTGGAAGAAAGAAGGAAAAGGGGAGACATTATGCTATTTAACTGCATTACAGGAAGAGTGAAGATAGATAAGGATGACTTTTTGATCTTGAAAACAAGAAGAACGAGAGGACACAACAAAAAGTTGAAAGTAAAAAGAGGTGATAAAGATGTCAAAATATATAGTTTCCCAAACAGAATTATTGAATCGTGGAACAGACTCCCCTATCAAGTAGTGTGTGCCAAAACTGTGCATCAATTTAAAAAGTTATACGATAATTTACATATAGCAGACGGGACCACCTGAGCATAGCTCTTCTCCCGTATCACACACACACACACACACACACACACACACACACACACACACACACACACACACACACACACACACACACACACACACACACACACACACACTCAAACACACACACACATACACACATATGATTGAATTAAATGTTCGTTCAAATTTGAACGCTGAAAGCGTGCATGCTTTACGTGTGCACATAAACAAATCTACAGGACCAAGTACACTTTCAAATCCATAAACAGGCAACACAAAAACGTGATCGAACGAAAGAAAAAAAATCGCCTTTACCCAAGCCGGCCTTAAAGCTGCCCTGACTCCGGGTTGCGCTGCGGTCATCAAAATATAAACAAACTGTCAGGTGGAGGCCGGTATCCAACAGGTGGTCCTCTCGAAGCAACGTTAAAAATAATTCTATAAAAGGTCCGAAACCCATTGTACATCATTAGAAAAGATGGCCAAAGGAGATATTTCTAGAACTCTGAGTAAAATAAGGCTCAGAATGATGTTGCTGTGTCTCTTGGGCGTTGCACTGTCTGTCTATGCTCTCTACGTCGAGTTCCTGAAGGAAGCCGATGAAAATTACGAAGCCATGTGCGACGTCAACTCTTACATCTCCTGCTCCAAAGTTTTCACGTCCAAGTAAGGTTTTTTAGGACCTGCACAACCACATAATAACAATTTTGGCATCAATGTATTGCATTTGATGAATATTGCCCTCCCAATACCTTGCTCGTTGTTGTCATGGGAGGGCTTAGGAGATGGAGACTGAGGCCCATGGTAGGGGATCACCCCTACTTTGGGTCTCAGCTCTTGCCTCAACTAATTTTATTTGGTCTTTTATCTCCTTTCCTCTTCTGGACCTTCTTCGTCTCCTATCCCATTCCCAAGGTGTGAGAGCCAGGCTGAAATGATGAAAGGCTGGCTTTGTGTCAGTTACAAACGGCCTCCGGGAGCCATAGACATGGTATTCCTTTAGTTAATTGCTTAGCCCTTACTCCTTATGGAGACCTTGAGGGATAGACAGTTTCTTTTCCCTGTTTTATTCAGGCTCACCATAGCCAATAATGAAGATTCTTTATTCTTAATATGGGCATTAAGGCTTGCCTCTTCATCAAGTAGCCTATCAAAATTTGATTTTGAAAGTTTTCTCAAAACTGCCCCTCCTATGACCAAATGCTTGTTCTATCTACCCCCCTCCTCAATGCTTACGGACAACTTTATCCATTCCAAATCACCCACCCAGGTTATTACTAATCTTCCAGAAATATTACCCCTTCCTCTCTCCCAACATTCTCCTTGCCATCTCCTACTGCACAGTCCTCTTTTATGTCTACCCCCTCTTCCTTTATTACTATTCTTCATCCTTATTGTCCTCTCCCCCCCCACCCCCACAGAACTCCTCCACTCCACACCACCTCATCTTCCTCTTGCTCTCATCTTTATACTGCCTCTACCTCTGCAAACCTTTTGCATACTTAGCCAAGTGGGATCAATTCTTAGTGATTCTCCCCACAGCCCCCTATTCTGAGAATACTCTTCTCTTTCAACAGTGCCTCTAAAAACAAGTAGGCAAAGTTACCTTTCGGAGTCACTCCGAACGTTTACACCTGTCACAGCTACATCTGAATCCCAAGCTCGTGTACTATCCACTCTATCTATCCATTCCTGCCAAACCTCACCCCTCTCTTAATACTTGTACTGGAACTGTTTTTATCCACCCAAATGCTTGTCCTATCTACAACAAGGACTGGTTAGACTGAAAATTACCTACTTACCTCGCTTGCTAATTATGATGCAATGGCAGTGCAGTGTTACACTATTCCTCCCAGAGGCCAGTGAAGTCCCATGGCAATATTACCAAGATTAGCTTACATAGACATGAACTCCCCCATGAAGTTTATATTGGTGGATTGTCTGACCATGTCAGACCACATCAATCCCTTCCTGGTCACTGTCCCAAATGTTAGCATTTTGGCCACCCAGTCCAACACTGTCACTTCACAGCCCACTGCCATCTATGTGCCCAACCTGGTCATGACCGTTCAAATTGCCCTGCTCATTCATGTAAATATGCCATATGTCGAGACTTCCATAATGTATTTCATAGGAGCTGCCCTGCCTATAAGCTTGAATGTGAAATGTGAGATAGCAGTCCTCAGATTCAAATTAGGCCTCACTCTATATGAAGCAAGACAAGAAGCAAGACAACGAGGTTTTTCTCTCTCACTCCTAAACAGTCCTTTGCTCTGCTCCCCCACCATCTTCACAAGACGTTTCAGCATCTCCCCCAGTATCTCCCCTAAACCATCCTACATTTAATCACCATATCCCCTATTCAAATTCATTTTCCAGTCTAAATCCAGATAACACTTCCCCGACACCTAACCCTCCTCCTCACTATATTTGTCACACCAGGCAACCTGAATGTTCCACTCCACCCTCTCCTACTACATCCTCTCCTACACCTTCCTCTTCTTCTGCTCCTCAGATATCTATCTCCTCTTCTCCTCCTCACAAGAGAACCTTTGTTTCTCAGTCCTCTTCACCCAACTCCCCTCCAGAAACCCTTGAAGACATCCAAAACCTCCAAAAGATGATCCAAGGGAACACACTACTCTCTCATCCATCCCCCAATCCCTCTGTTCGCACTCCGTCTACATTTAAAGTATTTGTAGATATCCATCATCCTACTCATCAAGTTCCTTCCACCACCCTTCCTCCTACACCCTCCCAACCTACCCCACCCTCTTTGTCACTCCCACTTGAATACTCACACAAATCCCCTTTATCACAACAGTGTCCTTTGTCTTCCATTGTGGGGATCAGGGGGCAGCAACCCCCCTGGAGGGGGTTGCCCCCTACATTAGACACTATAGTGACTGATTCTGAGTATATTATTCATATTTTACCTCGCAATTTCTCTTGTACCTTTCATGCCTTCCTCAGCTATCAGATCCAAGATTATTGGTAATGGGGGGTTTTCCATGACATACTTTTGATGTATTTGGATAGTATAGAGTGAGAGGAATCCATCAAAATGAAAGTCATTGCGATCTTTTAGTGAAGGTATTCTGAAAAATTATCAAAGGAATAATAATTGCAAGACTGCAATTACCAGTTCTTTTCTTTCTCAGACTTCTGTATCAAATAACTTTGTTTTCTATTTGTAGCAGAAATTACATAGAAGATAAAGATTTCTCTCTCTCTCTCTCTCTCTCTCTCTCTCTCTCTCTCTCTCTCCTCTCTCTTCTCTCTCTCTCTCTCTCTCTCTCTCTCTCTCTCTCTTCTCTCTCTCTCTCTCTCTCTCTCTCTCTCTCTCTCTCTCTCTCTCTCTCTCTCTCTCTCTCTCTCTCTCTCTCTCTCTCTCTCTCTCTCTCTCTCTCTTCTCTCTCTCTCTCTCTCTCTCTCTCTTTCTTATTTCCATCTCTGCTTGTAAGTGGGATATGAAACTGGACCTACATACATATGCATACACATATTAAAACAATCACACAAACATATACCAACTATATATGCAGGCTAACCACAGTCACACAGCAAAAGAGAGCAAAACTTTTCGGTAACCATGATAAAAATCTGATAAATTTTCTACGATTTGATAACATTTCTCACAGAGAGGTCATTCTTAAACTAATTTTGATTTATATCTAAGGATGCATCTCAGTTGGTTACTTTTTTATTATTTTCTGTAAACTGTGTCAGATAAGTAGGTTACATGTTTCCTTGTTGGTTCATTATCCACCATGTAACAGCATCGCAAAGTTTTGTCATAATGTTTTCATTTTGGGGGGGTAAGGTTGCCACATGTGCAGAATGAAAAATTATTATTGTGAAACTGTGTTATTGGCTGGAACACATGTGTTTTATCATCTTTTTTCTTTTTATGTTATGTAATTAGATCTATTATGCCTAATTTGCAACACTAAGTTATGAGTGAAAAATTATTCTAGAATTATCTTTTAGAATTGGTGTCAAATTGTTGATATGTCTTCCACAGCTTTAGCACTCTGACAAAGGTCAACAAACATCCACCATATATATTTAGGTCAAACAGAACTTTGACTGGTCCCATATAAGATAACAGATTGACAGGAAGTTATACAAGAGCTTTGCAATTTGTAGAAACAATCACAGTCAGCATCTGGCATCAGCATTTTTGGTTGGATCCAAAGTTTTAGGTGCTTTGTCATGCATGAAAACATCAGTTGAAATGTAACTTGACATACAGCATGTTTGGACATTTGTATGTTATTTTAATGTTATTTTTTATATGCATCATAAGTAAGTATCCTAGTATTTATTTAGGGGGTGTAGGAGATTAGCATAAGTTAGTGAATGAGAGAAAGAGAGAACTTGAGTGAGTGAGAGTGAGCATATGTGTGTGTATATCTTTTTATCTGTAGGTGGTTGGTAGGTGGATAGGTATTAATGTGGATGTATGGTTGATTATATGTGTAGATGTTTACATATGCACATAGATACCAATATATTAACCTTGACCTCCCCTGACCCCTAGATATGGCCGAGGCTTTGGCATTGTGGGTGAGTACCTTGGGAAGGACCACATCTTGAACCAGCCAAACAGCATCCCTGGCATCATGTTCTACATACTGATCCTTGCCCTTGGTGAGTGATAGTGGAGAAGAGAGTTTTATTAGGATAACTGCATGCTTTTCTTCTTTGTTTTCAATAGGAGAAAATATTTTTTCTTTTTCTGTGGGAGTAAAAATCAGGGTAGACATATTGGGAAGTAAGTTTTTTTTTTAAGATCTCTTATGATTTCTTTTATTTGTGTACTTATAGTATTGCTATATTATATTACATGTGATATTTAAAAGACAGATAATAATTTATCTTCCAGGGTTATCCACATGCACTTACAGTACATTTCCAGGACAAATTAGCAGTATATTATATATATAAAATGAAGGATAGCAGCATCACTTTTCAGAACCAG